AGTGTCCCCCTCCCTTCTCCATCTCTCCCAGTTCTTTCCCAAGAAGAGGCGTCACACAGAACTCTGCTTCCTCTCTTGGTTCCGCACCGCGAAGGAGTCCTTGGACATGATGCTGTCCCCAGGTGAGAAATATCGTGTCACCTGGTACATATCCTGGAGTCCTTGCTTCGCATGTGTGGATGAGGTGGTTAAGTTCCTGAGGGAGCACACGAACGTAGAGCTGATCATCTTCGCTGCCCGCCTCTACCACTCCGATATTTTGCAATACCGGCACGGTCTGCGCAAACTGCATGATGCCGGCGTCCATGTGGCCATCATGTCCTATTATGGTGAGAGCAGAGGGAGCTGGGGCAGGGGCAGGGCTGTGGGAGGGACTGGCATCAGGTAGGGGGAACCTAGGATGCCCCAGGGAGAGTAGCCTCTCTTTGCTGCCTGCAGAGGTGAGGCTGGACTCTGGGGAGGACTGGAGAGTCTGCTTGGAGAGAGAGTTCAGGGGAGAGAGGCGAGCCTGGGCAATGGAGGGAGGTGGGTACTCATGCTAGAAGGCCTTGGTGGCTTCCAGAATGAGGTAGAATTGGACTGCCTCACATTCCGGCTGGAAACAGGAATTTGAGGGAGGAAAGAGGAGGCAGGGAAATGCCGATGGCGAGAACGTGTCTCTTAAGACTCAGGCACCTCGTAGCCCCTTCCCCATTCTCAGAGCTGGAGCTTGCCTTGATTCCTCCTGTCCCGTTTCAGAGTTTAAGCACTGCTTGAACAACTTCGTGTTCCACCAGGGAAGATCCTTCTGCCCCTGGAATGACTTGAATAAAAACAGCAAAAATCTCTCTAACACGCTGGAGGACATTCTCCGGGTGAGGGCGGCTCCCTCCCAGCTGCCCCCCTGCCCACCTCCCCCCTCACCTCTCTCCCTGGGTTTTCTTTCCCTTTGCTCAGAGCCTCCTCTGGGTCACCTGCTCCCTCCTGGGGCACCAGCTGCATCCCTCCCTTCCCCTCTCACAAGGAGTCTGAGCTTCCTCACCTCCTTGTGTCCCTCCTTCCTTCCTTGTCTCTGTCTCTGCCCCGGACCTCGTCCCTGTTCATCTTCCCAAAGGCCTCACTCTCTGCTACATTCATCTCCTTCTTCTTGATCCAGAATCAGGAAGACTGAAGGATGGACCGCAATCTCGCTAAAGAAAGCAGAAGACCTCTGTGGAACAGCAGAACAAAACACTTTTTTAAAGAAAGGGAACTTGCCATTCACCAACACGTCCCATTGATCAAAACATCCCAGCAAAATGCAATGAGTTCATAAGAAATTATTATTTTTTTTAATCTGATAGACTTACTTTTCAAAAATCTGTTATGTTCAAAATCTAAATATTAGCAAGTTTTTCTACTCAATAGCATCAGAATAGGTTTTGAGTTTTAGAGAAATATATATTTTGATAGATTTAATCCAAATGCAATCAAATGAAAGACTAAGGTTCTTCCCTACCAAAATTTTTCCTCTATAGATGTATCATGAAGTCCAAATAGTTCAATAAACACTTGCGAATGTGCAAATGCCTTTGTCTTTCGTAGGTACCTTCAAGGTGGGGGAGTTGTAGCAGGGCTCACACTAATTGTCGCTGGTCAAATAAAAATCAGTAACGTTTATAGGAGGGGGATCTGGAATTTAAAAGCCTGGACTCATCGTCAGACTATTAGACGGGCAGCAGCACCGTTTTTGAAACGACGGACGATGCAATAAGAGAAGAGAAAGACGAAGTGTAAACACGGGAAAGAACATTCGAACGGGCAGGTTTTCGGGGGCCGGGGAGTTGCCCAGTCCTCAGCCCATTC